AGGTCCGGGGTCCCCAAAAAAACCTATTGTTCGGTACGAACCCGAACTTTTCAGTTCGGGCTCGCTCAACTCTATTTATTGATAATGTAGTGTAGTATAAGGGATTATATTTAGAGATAATACAGACTGGAGAATTTGTTATAAATTGCATTTTCAGTTGAATTTGGGGAAACCACTTGAAGTACGCATTATGTTGAGCCAGTTGCTTTTGGTTGATTTGTTCACTGCAAACAGCTTAAAGTCTGTAAATGTTTTACAATAAACCTGATTTTCAATGGGGGTTGAATAATTTTGATTACAACTGTAAATAACAGTGAGCTATGCATTGTGAGAAAAGTACGGCCTTGAGGGGTATATTTTTTATTTTTCTTATTTCTTCATTTAACAAAAAAAGAAAATCTCCGAGTAAAAAAAATAAATTTCTCAGACTCAAATCCAATTCAAAAACCGATGAGCGCATTTGTTGGGAGGTTCGTGCCAAAAACCTCTAACACTCTTCATGAGCTGACAGATGGTAAAGATGTGATCCAGCGATGACCTGTCAAAATCTAATCCAGCCAAGTCTGTTCTTCCCTTTCAATCTAAATGCCTAGAGGGACTTGCATAAACATCCATGGCAACAATTTACTTGCCGAAGACAAGATTGTATAATAAAAGTAAATTTGACTCAAATGCATGACTGTCTTTTTTTAAATGACATTTTTAGCAGATAATTAATCGTTATCTCACTATTATGTTTTAAAAGCAGTAAAAAATTTTATAAGTAAAGCATATGATAACAGCTTTACGTACACATGGTTTCATTCTGATCGAAGCCAGTTTTATGAACAGGTTTGAATACATGCACATTAATACGACTGCTTTAACCAAAATCAACAACACTAATAGATGATTAGATTTATTTGTATGGGGAAGGCGTTGGTTAATAGTGATGATATTAACATTAATACAGAATTATATCTGCTCTTTCTTGTATGAATTTAATGACTAATGTGTTTAAATTGCATTTGAGCATCTTTATATATTTAAGTTAGATTAAAGAAAAATATAGTGTTAATTATTATTTACACTGAATGTTTCAACATACCCAATAACATACATATATTTTCTTAATATCAACTCAGGTAGATTTGGCATGATTCAGTTTGCATGATAGAGAAATATCTGAAAAGTCTGGGCTACTACTGATTACTTGAGACTACTCTGATGAATACCACCATAATTTAAAATAATTTTTACTATAACTTTATCAAACTTGTAGGCATACATTTGAGTTGATGCTTTGGCTCCGCCACGTGGTGCACTTCCTTATGCCAATATTACTCATTCCAATAAAGCTGCAGTGATTTGATTACTCTCTTTTTTTGTGTTAACCGGCTCAGTGTTTTCTTGGAAAAGAGCAGGTAGGCCAGCATGGCCAACTTGAGATATATTAAATTAGCCATTAAAAAGAGCTCCCAGCTAGCCGTTTAACATGGCTGAAAATTAAAAATTAGAAAAAAGGCTTGCTGACTGCATTGGTCATGTAAACAGTTACCAGAATTGTGTAATGCCCCCCTCCTCCCTCCCACCCCCCAAATAAAATGAAAAACAAATTATCTTTGCTATAAGTTATCCTTATTACTGGATGTCCCTCTACACTCACCATATCTTGTTAAACAGAACAACTTTATTAGGCACCAATTGGACATCAATCTTTACTGTGAAATAAACTTGTAAATGATTTACACTGCTAGAAGAATCAATTTTTTTTTTTTTTTGGTATTAAACTCCTCGAGAATATATTCAATAATCTTTTTATTACTATAGACTATACTGAATTTGTTGCATATAAAATATTTACTTTTAATGTTTAGGAATGCAGTTATTTTTGTTGTCCACATATAATTCTGGGTAAAATTTGCATCAGAGAGATTTGGCATTCCCCTAGCACCCTTTATATGACAGGGATGCATTTTATAGACCTCCCATTCCTTTCTTACCCCTCATTCAGTTTTTACAGTGGTTACACTTTTTAGTGATTAAAAATAACCAATTAACTTTCTCCATTCTGTTTTTATTAATCTGTTTCATTCTTTAATCTCCATTTAAGATCTAAACTGTATAAGTACTATGCCGTCTATATATATATATATATATATATATATATATATATATATATGATACATTTTTACTTTGAATAGTATGTATTTGAGCACTATTTATTCTGTAGTCTTACCCACTGCCCTTTAGTTTGCAAGTTCACTTCAGCCTTCCCGTATTATCTCTTGTTTTTATAAGTCAACTTGTCATTAAAATGATTTGTATGATCCCATTGTACAGAACTGCAAATATTGTTGGCACTTTATAAATCCTAAAAATGACATTTTGAACAATAGATCTGATGCCTCTGAGATTTATACAGTGTTAATCAATATAAACATAAGTCAAATACAATCTACCATCTTTCTGTCTAAAGAGAAGAGGAACCTACTGTTACAAACATGAAAACAAACGCCTTTTAAACAATGTTTCAAAAAGCACAATTTAGAAAAAAAAATACACTTTCAATTTTTTTTTACATTTAATAGTAATGATTTAGTGAGATATATAAAGGGGGGGTGCTGGGTCTATCTTTATTAAACATATCTACAAGCAATGTTGTGATACTATTTGTTCCCCAAACAGAAAGACACATCAAAATAATAAAACCAATTAAAACCCCCAAAAAACAGCTATGGTGCCTTGGAGGAACAGTATAAAACACTTTTAGCATACCCGGATATTCCATTAGATAAAGCTGTCCATAAAAAGAATTTTAACAAGACATAGTACTACCAAGAGAGATTATTTGTGACACACTGGCATAATTCCAAAAGATACATGGAGAAAAAAAATACATATCTACTATCACAAAACAATTGGATCTGTCATTCAGAGCACATTTTGTTGGATATGATGTGTGTCAGCTCACCTTACAAAAACTTTTGTTATATTCACCCCTTGACTGATGGGGCATCACAAAGCAGATAAACCGAAAGTGGCAGATTTATTCAGAATGCTACAATTCCACAACAATTTACAATGAAGAGATTCTGTCATTTTATCTGAAGATGAACATTGTGATTACATTCTTCTTTCAAAAATAGTCGATCTATCTAAACAAATGTATAGTATACGTGTAGCTATTTTTCATGAACTACATTTAGTTCCTTGTATTTTAGTATTTAGCAATTAACCCCTTCACTACCTAGTAGTTTTTGATTGAAAAAAATATTAGCATAGCATTTATTTAAAGCAAGAAATGCATAGCTTGTAAACGTAACATAGCACATCGATTTTGTGTATAGATTGTTTTGCCTATAAACGTAAAAAATATTTATGTTCACGTTTTCTCACATGTATCAGGTGTGTCAAAATATATAAATATTATTAGTCACATACTCTGCTTATAAGTTTTTGTATTGACCCGGAAGGCATCAATAGCAGTATAGTTTACTAAAAATGGCAACATAGTATAAAAATAATATCTGCATTTCAGCACAATACCCACATACAATAAATACAGCTAAATCCTGTATTTCTAAAATATAGGTTTTTAAAATGACTATTGCAATCTTTTCCAGTCTTCCAAACGCTAATGTATTGCTGACTGTAGGAATAATATGACTCATTGAAACTTACTATACTGTTTTTAAAAAAAAAAAGAGCTTACATTTTCAGCACCTTTACATTTTTATCTAAGTGACTAGTAGCTTATGGCAGAGATATTCAGTCCTCTACAGACTGATAACCATTTAAAAAGTCTAAATGAGGGTGAGTGAGGCTTTATGGATTAGATTTCATTCTACTAAATACATGAAAATGAAAACATTTATACTGAATTTTGGTATTAAAGAGGTTCCCTCCTAGATAGGTACTTTATGATAGAGATGCCATAGAATAGCTGTCTATCCCCTCTGCTAATCATAGTGGATCATTCTCTTATTACAGTTGTTACATTTTATCTAGGTAGCAGTTACTTTTGTTCTATTTTTCCTTTTTTTTTTTTTCCTTTACATTCTATATGTGTTAGGAACTTAAATACTTTTAGTCCCTTCAACGGACATTAGCCACGGTTGTCCAGGCATATTTACCTTAGGCCATCTTAATATATTTTAATAAAAGCTTTTTTCATTAATAATATTTCTTTAAACTCCACTTCTCCTTCATGTGTGGTCTTCTGTTTTTTCTCAATAAAGAGGTTTAAAAGATATACTGTTATAGAATATATTACACTTTGTGAAAACCTTGTAATTGGTGAAATGTGTCAGTGTAATTACTCTGCTTGTTTTATTCACTTTTATACTTTTTAATGTAAAATCGTTCCTGGACCATCTTTTTCTTTGGAGCCTGTACATCAATTTCATCATGGGGAACATGCCATGTGAGCCTTGAGTGTTGAGCAAAACCATTATTTTACATATTCACTAACACCTAAACATTTCTTAAGAGGCTACTCGCCTCTTTGTATTATATATATATATATATATATAGGATTTATATAGTTCCAACAATATTTGCTGTTCTGTACAATGGGATTACAAGACATACAAGCAATTTTGATGACAATTTGACTTATAAAAACAAGACATAATACGGGAAGGCTGAAGTGAACCTGCAAACTAAAGGGCATTGGGTAAGACTACAGAATAGATAGTACTCAAATACATACTATTCAAAGTAAAAATGGATCATATATATATATCGTTTATATCTTAAATGGAGATTAAAAAGGGAAACAGATTAATAAAAACAGAATGGAGAAAGTTAATTGGTTATTTGTAATCACTAAAAAGTGTAACCACTGTAAAAACTGAATGGAAGCAAGAGATAGTACGGGAAGGCTGCAGTGAACTTGCAAAATATATATATATAGAGAGAGAGAGAGAGAGAGAGAGAGTAGAGATGTCGCGAACCGTACGCGAACTTCTCGTGAACGGTTCGCCGCGGTTCGCCATGAACCGTTCGCGGCGAACTCCGGTCAGCTGACACATCCCTGCCAATCTCCGGCAGACCCTCCCTCCCAGACCCACCCACCTCCTGGACAGCATCCATGTTGAAGCCGCCTTCAACATGAATGCTGTCCAGGAAGTAGGAGGGTCTGGGAGGGAGGGTCTGCTGGAGATTGGCCGGGATGTGTCAGCTGACCGGAGTTCGCCGCGAACGGTTTGTGGCGAACCGTGGCGAACCGTTCGCCAGAAGTTCGCGGACGGTTCGCAACATCTCTAAGAGAGAGATGAAAAATAAAATGTTATTTTCTCTGATTAATTATATTTCCGCTCACAATTTCTACAAATCACAAATTGTTTGAAACCATGTGTGCAAGTCTACTATATACCCCAAAGATGGGGTACATTGACATTGTGTCAGGCTTATGCAATGTATGGTCATAAAATGTAACAAAACCCACATTATTTTTGCCTAGATTAGGTGTTTTACTAAAAACTAATAAAATCTGTCAACATTGAAGTTGCTATTAAGTGGATAAGTGAGTGTGCGGGATCTTGTGTATTGTATAAATTGGTCCCCAGCAGCACCCCATTTATGCCTGTACAGGTGAGTGCAGCCTCCTGGTTTCATATATTTGGGAGTCTAGACAACTCTTTGGTTTTGCACCCCTCCCTGTCACAGGTGCCTCATCCCAGGGCCATATTTAGCCATGTAGTGCAGAGATCCCCAGATGGATTTTTTTCTGCAAGTAAGTGGGTTAATCTCATATATGATATATGTAAAGTGGGAGTTGCCATAAAAGAGACTGGTTGCATTTTCTAATAGTCTCTAACAGAGAACATGTATAAACAACCAACACAATTTTCCTGTGGAAGATCAAAGGTAATATAAACTTGGAATGCAGTTTGATAACTGATGACCTTCACTAAAAGACCTTGCTGCGATCTACTCAGTTTTAGAGTGGGTCTGACAATGATAATGTCCCATAAATAAATAATTTCACAACTCATGATATGCATAGCTGTCTTTCAAGAAGGACTCACTTGTGGCTTTCAAAGTATTAGCCTTACTTAGTAATGTTTATCCCTTAAAAAGTCTCTATTGGTGACATTACTTTAAGACTGTGCCCATTGGTGACTTTACTTTAAGACTTTGCAAGTCGGATAAAAGAACTCAACTCATTCCCTGCTAGCTTTAACGCAGGTAGAAGCAATTCAAACTTCCATCATCTTTAGGAAGTGGGGTAAATTCTGTTGTAGGGAAATCAAAAATTTCACACTAACTCCACTGAGTTTCTAAGTGACCAACTGCTATCTTGAGAGGATATAATGTGGAAGCTGCAGTTATATTGTCTATATTGGATTTGGCTGTCAACGTAGAGATGACATATGGGCTCTGAATCCTGTTAGTGGATTAAGAGATTATATAATTTGCACCAATTTTAAATTTAGGTTTCAAGGGAAAATTACATTATAATTCCTACATTTGTGTTTATTCCCAGCTTATGAAATATGGCCAGCATTTCTGTTTAAAACGTATTACACTGAGTTATTTCACAATATATCAGCTAGTTAGAGCAGTGATCACATTGCAGCCTTAGAACTAGTAAACCCAGATTTAAATCCCAGTCACTTTACCAGTAAGTGTCATTGGGCAAGACACTAAGCTATATACAAATCACCTCTAAATATCCCCTTTCTAGAATTGTAAAGCGATGTTGAATATGTTGGCTCTGTATAAATGCTGATAATTATAATGTGTGCAGCTACCCTTAGATTATTTATGTATTTAGAGAGTGATCATCACCAATGAAATGTCTTACCATGATGCAAAGATTCTCCCTTGAGATTTTTACACATCTTAGTTGCCCTCCGCATGTTTTGATTTAAATGTAGAAATGAACATTCCGAACTCTGTAGTAGAAAAAACAGACTTTAATTGGACAACAAGATAAGACTGGATGCACCAGTGGGCCATGAGGAAAGTCTACATTACCTACATCAATGCCTACATTTACTGTTACAAGAGATGTGGCCACCTCAGGTCCTCAGTTTCACAAGTGGGACACGCACTATTTTATTGGCCGTGTGCAGTGCCTTTTTGGGATTTACAATGCTTTGATTTAAGCTTCAACCTCGTATCAGTGAGTGTGTGATTGACCACAAGTTTATTGTTTTGTCCTTAGAACCATATTTATACATATTTTGCTTACACACTAAATTTTACACATAACTCTTTACCAAGCCGTACATCCATCCAAAGAACAATTTCTATCATAAAACTTATTAGTTTGTAGTGATGTCATATATGATTGCACCTTTCTACATTATGTTATTTATACATAACTCCATTTATCTAATGCATATCCAGGAGTGTGGAATATCCCCATGAAAGATTGACATATTTTATACATACTTTATGAATCTAATGATGAATAATCTTACAGTTGAATGTCTAAAGTATATAGGAACTTATCATAAATAAAAGAAGCTGTTCCACTGGAAAGTAATTGCAGTTTATAATCCTTATTAATATCCCCATACTCTGTGGTGTTCAATTCCGAAGGTGGACACACTGTGAGCGAACCACAGAACTACTATATTGCTAATGTGAAACATGCATCATCTCACGTAATTCAATGAGAATGATATGAGAATGATTTACAGAGAATACACATAAATATTCTCAGATGGGAGCAATTTTATCCAGGTATAAAATAAATAATTTACTCCATTTTCACTTCATCTCTGTATTACTGAATTATGATGTTGCAACATGTAGTCTTTGATATCCAGAACAGCACATTTCACAGAGTTGTATATATTTTTAATAGTATTTTTCCATGTATAAGACTGTTTTTTTTCAAAATATTAGTCTAAACTTGGGGGTCCACTTATACACATAATGTCACTGCATGGGTTAAAAAAACCACCTGTGCACAGGGCCTGACAGCCAACCAAGCTAGTTGCATGTGGCTGTAGCTCCTTCAAAAATCTAATTATTTAGCCAAATAAAGTACTTACTCAGCGCAATTTGGGCACAAAATGTGGCTGCTTGCTGACAGAATACTCAGCTGACTTTTAGGTTCGCTACTGCCAGGTTCCTGGCTGTGTTGTACACATCTGCGACCTGCGTGGGTCTGGGAGATCTTGCTCAACCGCATGCTTCCTTGCATCACTCTGGACTACACCAAGACCTCATGGGTCTGGACTACAGATAGACGCCGCAGAGTGAGGCCTTGCCCAGACATCCCCCGTAGGGTACGGGGAGCAGAGGGCATTGTTGCTATCAATAGCAGGACAGTGATCCAGGGAACCATTGTCCGAATGTGACCGGACCTCAGGGAGCGGCTTACAGCAGTGTGAGGAGACCTGGGAACGATGGGGGATCCTGATCAGCCAAACTAAATTTCTCTGCTATAGATCAATGATGGCTAACCTTTTGAGTCTAAAAGCTAACTGAGCATCATGGGAAATGTAGTCCAGAAACAATGTATGGTGTTAAGGTTAGCCATCACTGCTATAGATCTTTAAAATAGGTATTTCTTAATTTTGGGCGCAAAAAATAGAGGTCGTCTTATTATACATGGAAAAATATGGTACTTTGTTTAAGGTTTAGCCTATTCTAGATTTGTTCTAACTCAAGTTCATACATAATTTACTATTATTTCAAAATACTAGCCCTTGCTAGGAATTCTAGGGGACAATGTAATTATATTGTGAGCATATACACATACTTGTACACATAAGCGTAATAAACGTCCACTAACACACACATACGTCCACTAACACAAACACACAAATTTATTGAAACATACACATACATAAGTTCCCTAATAAACACACACACACAAACACATACATATATCTTACTGAAACACACACAATACACTTATTAATATGTAGATACACTTACAAGATTACTACAACACACACACACAAGCTCAATAAGACACACACCTATAAGCTCACTAATACTTATTCTGCATTCTGGGCACCTGATGTTAATATAGCACCTGGTGGCAGTGGGTAGCAGCAAGAGGTAATATGTTTCCTTAGTATTTAGTTGCCATTTTTAGGTCTCGTCCTGTCTGTTCTCGCCACAGTATCTGGCTGGGAATGGGTAATTGGAGTTGGAGTTGGGTACTACTTCATGTGGAGTTGGTGCCAGGGGTTACCATAGAATGTACCACACTGCACCTATACCCACACAGTGGGAGCTACTAAGGGAGCAGGATAGGTGTGCAGTTCTATGAAGCAATTGACAAGATTTGTGAATTAGACAATAATTATATAGTTAATAATAATTATACATGCTCTCCTGCCCTCTTAAATGTTTTTACCGTGGTGATAGGTACGTCATTAGTGGAGGAGAGTTATATTGTGGCTGCTACATTTTTTATTACATTTACTTGTTTGTTTGTAGGTTTTTATTTTTACTTATTCAGTGTGTTGGATGTTTTGTATAAACTGAATTGAAATGTCACATTACATTTTTTGTTGCAAATAAATTTACATCAAAGGCTGCAAAATAATTTTAATGCAGTCCCTAGAGTTTACAAAACCAAGGGGTTTGAGTCTTTCAGTTTGAAATATTAAAAATAAAGATCACCCTCACGATCCTGGCCTAGCAGGTGAAACTTGCGTAGAGTCCGCTTATTTTCTTTTCCCCTTCAATGTGTCCACTATATTGATTATTGTGCTATGTTCAGGGTGGCTGGCAAATTAATAGGGATATGTTTACTTAGTAGCCTTTTGGCCAGAGCTAGTACAGGGAGCAACTGGTCTTGGACATAGTTTTCAGAATTTGTTTCTTTACACCCACCGACCTCTGGGCACGTAAGCTCTCTGTAAACAGTTTAGGATATTATATGTAGAGCTGTTTGTTTTAGTGAATGTGAGCCTGGGCGGATTTAGATGCTATATGAGTGTTATAAGCACAGTAACTGTGACCCCTAGTGATTAGTTAGAGGTAACATATGTAGGGATTAATATGATTATTATTATTATTATTATTTGAAAATGCTGAGTATATATTCTTCCTATTATAATATTTTTCTGGAGACTGTTTTCAGACTAATTTAGACTTTTTGCATTAGTCCAATCAGTGGAGCTGTGACACATACACATATTCTTCTTTTATAATTGAGTTGTGTTTTTTTTTTTTTGTCAATATCTGTTTCATTGAGTTTGTCAT